TGGCGCATCAGGGTGTCCTTGTCCAAGGAGAAGACCTGCGCCAGGCGAGTGAGGCCTGCCTCCACCATCTCGACCGTGTCCTCACCCTTGGAGCGCCGAGCTTTGGAAAGATCAAAGGGCTCGAAGGATGAGACCAAGTTGTGCTTCGGATATTCCGCCGCCATAGTCTTTGCGCAAAGAGCCACGTAGGTTGACATGACGCCCAAGCACTCTGAGACCACAGCTGCAGTCACTTTTCCGGGTCCGCCCACGGACTTGGGTGTCCCTTCGCAGAGAAAGCCGCGGTTCTTGTTCAAGGCCTCTATCATAAAGCGCGTGTACCCCGGCGAATCGATCACGTTCGCCTGGCATGTAATAATGTTAAGTTCTGTTTGCTAAAGTATTGGGCTTATGTTGTGGTGTTGGGCATCAAACGCAGCCTCGAGAAAGAGGTATTTCAGTCGCGACAGGAAGGCGGTGCACTCCAGGTTCATCTCTGCTATGTCGTAGCTTTCGCTGTCACTCAGGCGGGTGAGGGCCATCCCCTCGTCGGCCACGTCAGTACACATTGCAAACAAGATCAACCTCTTCTCGTCCACAAACTGAAGGAATTCTTTGCAAGTCGGGCAGGCGCGATGAATCGAACCCCAGATGGCTGTCAGGAGGACAGCATCAAATTCCAAGACAAACCGGCTGGCCGGTTTGGACATGGAATTGAACCGATGCATCTTGAACGTCATGTTCATGGCTCGTCCCTTGCAGAAGTCTCTGAACTTGCCTTGCAACACATTGCTGTTGTTGATTGTCTTCAAGATACTCCCGGACTGCAAGAGAAAAAATCCTGCACCTCCTTGATTTCCGGAATCGCAGCAAAGGGCCGTGAAAGCAGCCTTCGCGAGGCATGTGTGACGTCCTTTTGCTGTGCCTTTGCATTTGCAAACATGCCTGCGCTGGCACGCAACAATCTGGATGCCAGTACCTCGTCTGCTGCGGCATCAGTGTCAAGGAGTTCGACGTGTTTCTGGATGTGGGCCCGAAGGGAGGCGTTGCCGTCGCAGAAGCGGTCCATGATGGCAGTCAGGCCACTCAACAAAGCCTGATGTGTACCGTCTGACAGTTTTGCCAAGCCAAGCAGCCCTTTGGACACAACCAGACCAGGGGATGTGCAAGCTGA